CTCAAGAGTCGTCAGGCCGTTATCCTGAAGCCATTATATAAACAATAAACAAACAAAAAACAAAAAACAAAAAAAAGCCCTGTACATCTGTCTTTTTGCATCCTTTGCCCAGCACTGTAGCCGTTTCAAGAGTGCTGTGTGCCAGTGTGTGGGGGTGGGGCCAAAAACTCTAGAAAATGCAACTACTCTTGATTCTTGAAATCGTTTAACAGCTCTTGAAACATGTGCTTGTTTCAAGAGTGATGTGGTGAGGCCGTAAGAGGCTGGCCACACAGGCTGTCGAAAATCGAGTTTTCGACAGTTTTGCATCGCCACACATACTTTCAAATTCCGGTTCAGAAGTTTTTCGACAGGTGTCAGATGTGTGCTTTCGACAGCCACTGTTGAAAACTCCTTTCCTCCCGCCTGCAGGTGACAGAAATTCCACAGTGCCCCGCCGGGCTTTCGAAAATTGCGTTTGAATTTGGGTTGTCAGAGACTGCTCCCTGACAGCCGTGGCCTGTTTGTCGCTATGTAGTCAACAGTTGCTGTCGAAAACGGAGTCCGCATCTGGTCCACTTGCATGCACTCCATGGAACAACTCCCGACAGGCGCCCCCCTTCGCCACACAGCACCTGTAGAAAGGCGGCGTCTACTTGCCAACTTTCGACAACCTCTCCCCCTCGACAGGCTGTGTGGCGATAGGGGGGGAAATTGTCGACAGCCGGGCTGTCAAAATTTTACTGACACCTGTCGAAAATTTTCGGTTTTCCACAGCCTGTATGGCGAGCCTCTAAGTCAGGCTAAGTGTGCATTGGCGATCCTTGCGCTCTTTTTCGCTTTTCTATTAGTATAATAATAAGGAGGCGGTGTCGGTCTGTCAGAGGGAAAAGGAAGAAGGGGGGGAAAAGGGGGGGGGTGGCGAAGGAGGTGCTGTCTTTCGTGGTTGTTTCCGGTGGCGATCACAAGCTGGCAGCAGCGAAAGGTACACTCTCGTGCTGTCTTTCGTGGTCGTTTCCGGTAGTGATCACAAGCTGGCAGCAGCGATAGATATACTTCCTTTTTTTTTTTCTTTTTTTTTTTTTCCCGATGGGTATATACTCTCGTGCTGTCTTTCGTGGTGGTTTCCGGTAGTGATCACAAGCTGGCAGCAGCGATAGGTATACTCTCTGACAGAGAGTTGCGTAGATAGATCGCCACACTGTGGTTTTGGGGCTGAACATCCTGTGGATGTAACGGCCAACACATGCATCTAGCGTGGGCGGCGGGATCACACCCGGCCATTCGTTGTTGTGTCGGACCGAAACTGCGGCTTCTGCTGCATGCATCTGGCCGTCCGTGAAGTCCTTGTGTGAGTATGGCGCCAGAGACGATCGGTGAGATGCAAGAAGATGGATACCGCCCTCGATTGCCGCCCGTCCGGCGGGGATCACGCACACCAGGGATTCATAAAACGGTTATGACTGCAATTACTGCAATTATTGCATGCATGTGACCGTAATGACGTCCGAGAACAGTCGAAAACGTCCAAGTGTATGCTTCTGCCTTGTGCCCTGGTGTGATACAAGGACGAGATGGAGGGCGCGGGGCCTGATGCGAATGTTACTGGAATGAGGGCCGCTTCGTTTAACTCCACTCTAGACTTGGTTGAGGCCAGATACAGCTTAAGGTGGCCGCTTTTGCGGTCAGATTCATACACCAAGGACACTCGTGGTGTGGGTATATGCCCAGAATGCGCCCTCATCGGCGTCCATTTTGCTGACTGTAGAGCCTTGGGCACAGGGCCCGTTGTTAATGCAAAATTTGCTTTGTTTYTTTTTTTTTTTTTTTTTTTTTTTTTTTTTGCAGGGGACAGACGGCATCTGAGTCCAGGGTAAATTGAGGGCGTTTTCACACCACCACTCTTCGGAATGTATCTGACGGCAATCTCGGCCGAACCTGGATGAATCTGCCTGCATTTCCGTCCATAAATAAGTAAAAGGGTCCGAGTGTGAGTATGCCCTCAGACCATGAAACGAGGGCTTACAGGGTCTCGCTCCACTGCTCACTGCATGCAGTGAAGACAAACAATATAATGGCGGTGTACACTTCCACGTTCTAGGTGAAGATTCACTCTCATTTGCACATTTGGTGAGTACTACGTTGTGGAGTGCGGCCCATACTCATACCACGTCCCACATCCTTTGGAATTGGAACGATACAGAGAAGATGAGCACGGCGCCCGGGCACGGACGACACGCTTACATATCGAGGGAAAAAGTAAAAACCCTCAGAAGCTTTGGAAGTAATTGCTGTCAGAGACGTCCAGATGCACCCCAGAAAGTCCGCATGTGAGTATATGCCCTCAAACTGAAAAAAAAAGCCCCTCAAATTTGGACCTTTTCTTCTTTTTTCTGTTTATATATTGCATGAAAAGAGATTGAGGCCCGCCGGGTACTCACAATTCAACCCGGTCAAAAAAAAAAAAAAAAAAAAAAAAACAATTCAACCCGGCGCCATGCCCAACTCACATTTTCAATTCTGTGGTTGATTTGTCATTTGCTCAGTACGCGGTGGCGACTGAAGGCCAGATCCTTTGGAAAAAAAAAAAAAAAAAAAAGGGCAGATCCCACTAGCGCCTTTTGTTCATTTCTGACCGTTGATCTTCGTAATCGAGGGTGAAAAATGAATAATCCAGGGTAGTGGGATCTGACCTTTAGACTACGATGTCATGCGCGACGTGTACTTTGTGCGGGTGGATGAATTTGTGACTGTGAAGAGTGAGTTTTTAACTACCTACCCAACTTGCACCGTAGAGTGGCGCTACTTTTTTTTTCTTTTTTTTTTTACCGTGGAGGTAGTTCTACGGTGTAGCACAGTGATTGTGAATAAAAAAGACAAAACGAATGCAAAAAAATCGAGAAACAAATGTTGTTGAAGGCTTTTTCTGCATATTTTCCTACACCCATAGTAAAATAGAGGAAGAAATGGTAGTACTGAATGCTTTTGCTTATTCTTTTTGGGAAAAAGAAATGGAAAAAACAAATCCTGGAGTGAAATTCTCCTTGCGCAACTCTCCCTCTACTGCCCCAAGAAGGAGACCAGGGGCGAGGTCCCACTAGCAAAGAGGATTGGATAAATATCCTGAATCTGGACGTGTTTTAAGCAGAGATGCAGGAAAGCAGTTCAATAGCGACATTCTGCACCTTTCCACAAACAAGTCCAGATTCAGGCGTTCGATCCAATCCTCTTTGCTAGTGCGACCTCGCCCCAGGGCAGGTGGTTGGAAGCTCAGCCATAGAGCTAGCTACACTGTGCAGGGATACGGCCCCCGAAATTTGCTGAAAGCCGTAGCCAGCTTATTAGATCAGCTTGGGAAGAAGCACACCTCAAATCACTAAATTACATATACAGTTATCTGCCACAAAACGGCTTTGTCTGTACAACTCCTTTCAAAAAAAAGGGAAAAAAAAAAAAAAAAAAGTCTTTCTGTCTTGCTTTGGGATGAAAAAGCCCCATGATGTACTTCCATCCATTCCTGCCCATTATAAACTCGAGACAGAGACTTTGTGCCTCGCCACACCACTCTCGAAATGTGAAAAAGACAAAAATGTGGCGTGTGCATCTGGTCGCGTGCTACGGGAAAGTTCGTTCTCGTTTCGCACATTTCGAGAGTGGTGTGGCGATGCCCTTTTACTCGAGAATAAATCTGACCACTTCTGGTAATGACCAGGCCTAAACTGACCTGAACTTAAAAAAAAAAAAAAAAAAAAAGAGTGAAGAAAAAATTGACCTGAAGTCGGCCAAGATAGGGCCTCGCCACACCTACCTCGAAAATCGATTTTTTTTGGAGAGCACTCTCGAACGTCGGAATTGGAGAAAACCGGTTCGAGAGGGGTCATCGCCACATTGCACTCGCGAAGAGGCACTCTCCACTGTTTTTCTTTTTTGTTTTAGTCACTGTTTCAGAAGAACCCCGTGAATTTTCCCGAGTTTTCACGAGGCCGCAGACGATTGTCAGTCGCGGCACACTCTCCATTTTCGGGCCGAAATCGGGTTCGCCTCGGACCTCTCTCCAAAAGGGCCACTTTGCAGGCTGGGTCTCTCGAAAAGTTCGTGACCACTCCTCAAACCCGCGTCCAGGCCGCTCTCCAATTTTTTTCTGACACCGATTTTGGAGAGTTGGTATGGCGATGCTTCTTCTCTCCAAATCGGTGGTTTCGGGATAGGTGTGGCGAGGCCGAAAGACAGAGTGAAAATCAATGTAACTGTGACCTCTAGGGACCACTCTGGAGATTAAGCTCACAGAAATAGGTTAACAGAGATAGGTTAATCCATAGGAGATTAAGCTCACAGAAAAAGTGCCTCGCCACACAAGTCTCGAAATGTGAAAAGACAAAAATGTGGCTTGTGCATCTGGTCGTGTTCTACAGGAAAGCTCGTTCTCATTTGGCACATTTCGAGAGTGGTGCGGCGATGCCCAAAGAAACTTGCTGGATTCCAGGCCATAAGACCTTTGGCCTGGATGCACGTCTCTCTCAAAAAGTGCAAAACGAGACTGAATCATCTGCAAGAACATGGAAAGATGCATTTCGATCTTTTTGTCGTTTGTGTATGTATGTGGACAGTGGTGAAGTGAGGCCCTTTCTTCGGATTCCATGTGATCACCTCTTTAAACCACCAGTACCTCTCCACGTTATTAGGCCGTTAACGCAGTGGCTGAACCTGTGCGCCGCCTGCGTCCAGCACTTCATTCAGAGTCGTTCGGGGTGTAACTTATCCATATTATTTATTTTTATTTTTTTTAATAATAAAACTCAAAACATCCATCTTACCTTCTTAGCAAACATATATGAAATGGGGAAATTTTTTTTTACAGCACTTCATTCAGAGTCATTCGGGGTGCAACTTATCCATTTTATAAAATTAAAAAAATAATAATAATAACACTCAAAACATCCATCTTAGCTTCTTTACAAACATATATCAAAAGGGGGAATTTTTTTTTAATGACGGGGACTATAAGAACCTTCTTCAAGATATAAAACAAAGCTCGTACATATCCACCTTCTCATCTTCACCATACAAACGTCTGCGGATCCTGAGATCGAATGTGCTGGAAACCGAGCCCAGCATCTCCTTCGGAAAAGCAATCCACCCCGCCCGGTGCGTCGATCAATGTCATACCAGTTTCGTCAAAAGTCGACTCCCTCAGATTTGTACTGTGTATTTTCTGGGCCGCTGGAAAAGGAAAAAGGGTAGAAACAGAGAGAGACAGACGGGACATCGGAAACACTGGCCCTTCAGCAGCGCGAAGTCCAGCCTACAGGACAACAACCTCAGCTTTGAATTGTACTATCTGGGACGCATGACCCGTTTTTCAGCAGGTGCAGCTTCCCACCAATAGTTAGAGCCGTCATATATGAGAGACCACTTGAGGAGGCGGCTCTTACCACCCCCTCAAGTGACTCCCTCCTGAGAAATTACCCCGACCATCTCAATGGAGCCGTGTGGAATTGTCAATTGCCCGATATTCCTTAAGGTCGAGATGGGTGGACAAGTTCCCATCCCCTACTACTCTTCCTGAAGAACGGGAACAGTCCCGTCTTCCGGAGGTTCCTCCGCTCTCCTTGTTCATCATCGGCACCCTCACTTTTCTTCCACATCTCGATCAGATTCTCCTCAATCGCGCTGTCTGCCTTTCCTGAGGGCTGCGATATCGATGACAAAGTCAGCGACTCATCCCTCGACAATATCCATGCACTACTCTTCAAGCAGCATCGACAGGAACGATAGATCATAACAAGAAGACGATATTCTGAAGGTCGAGATGGATGGAAAAGTTTTCGACCTCCAGCGCCAATAATGAAGATCGAAATAGGCCCCTGTTACTGAAGTTCTTCATCATACCGAGCGGCATTGAACTGTCTTCGTCGCCTCATCATCATCAGCAGCAGCTGTGTGAACTTCTCTCTCACGCCGGGACGTCGCAGAGAGCATCGCGGTGGCGGTCGGGTGCCAGAAACTACGGCTGTACATCGAGAGTATACCGTCCTTCATATCAGATAGAGCAGGATGAAGGACGCTCAAAAGGAGAAGCGGCTTAAAGCGAACGGACACAGCACAAAAGCCAAAAAGACAACGAATAGACAGACGTAGCGGGAAGATTATCCGCGATCAGGACACGCTGCGCAAACAGCTGGCGCCAAACCGATGAGAAATCGCATTCACACATCCATCTTGTAAGCAGAGACGCAGCGTGGAGATTCCAGCCTTCCAATATCGCCTTCAAACATCTGCTCTAGGATAATCGGAGAACTTATGAATGAAATACGGCTTGAAATTTCCAAACACAACACGAGAGCCAAATGGAATAAGCTGCTCCTAAAATCATTCCAATGGCTGCTAATGTTGCCACGTTGGGCGCAACTTGAAAAGCGCCTACTAAAATAAAAAACTCACCAATAAAGCTACTAGTGCCTGGCAGACTAATATTGGCTAAAGTCAAAAACAGGAAAATAGTAGAAAATAGGCATTGTACTGACTAAACCTCCTCCAACGACTCCCTCACTCCTTCGCAGATCGAAACAAGCGATCAGATCCAGCCAGTCCTAGTATCCTACCTCACACACGCTACCATCAATCATATCCTGCTCATCGGAGAGCGTGACGGACAACAATCCCAGAAAAGAAGAAACAGTGCCGGAAAGAATACCGAAGTACGACGCACTACGAGTCTACGAGTTGGTTCGTTTCTTTCTCGTCTAAAGCACACCGCTAAACGCACTACCAGTTGGTCACTATACTAACACACCGCTAAGGAACAATTAAGTAGTCACCCTCCTACTGAATTCATATTCGACCGTCCGATTGATTGATTTGATTCAACGCGACGTTCAATCTGATGTTTAATCCGATTGTCCAACGGATGTATCTATCCCTTTCTATGGCCGGATTGCTTGATGAATCCGGTTGACTACGTGGCACTGTGACATTCTGCTGCAACGGAATTTTCCGATATAACGAACCTTAGCATGGCGTACTCTGTTTCTCAATATTAAAGTCAATACTCAAGAGGTATAAGACAAGAGGCGGTACAGGTGAAATCTTCTCTAGCATAGAGAAAACTTCACTCAATTCCCTGTGGGACAAGGGGCAGTCCAGAGAAGTATCCCTGTCTCTTATACACATCTAGATGTGTATAAGAGACAGATCCCTGTGGGACAAGGGGCAGTCCAGAGAAGTAGATCCTGCACTAACACGCCAGCAGAATCTTCTCCCCTCACGCCGCTCACAGCCCTCAGATCGTCGCCGAACAAGGCCCCGTGCCAATCTTGAGCACGCTGTTGGCGACTGACATATCGAAGGTCAGCCACTGCGATTGCAACATAGACATTCCCAGAATAATGCTGGACATAGTCGGGTGGGATGCTAATCCCAACACAATGACACACCCAGTCCTACTCTTCAAGACAAGAGTGTAATCCTCTGGTTTCGCGGTCAGCTTTGCTCCTCCCGTGAAGGTCAGCGTAATGTCCGGAAACGAGTCCACGCTACAGAGAGGCGAAGCAAAAAAGATCATGGTGCCACCACCTAACGGTACTTCTGTTGGCGCACTGTTAGTTGCTTGTTGGATTGCACTGGCAATACTGGTAAGGGTGATCGAAGGCACAATAGTCAAAAACGATGTACTACCGAAGATGACAACTGGTTTGGCAGGAGGAGCGACGACGTCATAGCCGACACTCCACCCCGTCGTCGACGCCGCGTAGAAAGCGACTGGTGCCTCCGCGGTCGCCTCTACTGCCACTAGGGGCGTCGATGACCCTAGCAGCCCATTAGGGTAAGTAATCCACGCGGGGGGTTCGCCAACCACTACACCTCCCCCGTCGTCAACTTCGGTGTTGGTACCAGCGAAGGCAGAGGCGGACCTCTGCGTATGACCCGTGGAGTTAAAGCAAAGGCTCAAAATCTTCGGCAGCTGGAGCTGCTGCGTGACGGACGCGAAGAAACTTCCGCTGGACTGGCCGAGACCGAGCACTCCGTCTGCGGTGAAGTTCAGATACTCGCCTGTGAAGCTGGTGATGCAAGCCATGCCATCAAACGTGAAACGCGAGCTAGGATCGCCCTTGAACTGGACGAAGTCGGACACCAGTTGGCCCGTAATACCGTCAGTCTGGGTATCGTCATCATACCGAGCCACGTCGCACTTGGCAGTCGCGCAGGTCGCCACCTGCGTGGTCTGGAGGTGCTGGCAACTCGCGGAAGCGCAGGCGGAGTACTTAAGCGACGAGCTGGTGCCCATGGCGAAAGGTGGACTAACGGCTTTATCAGGAAGTGCGCCTGTGCAGAAGGTCCAAGAGAGATACTGGTTGAACCCAACCTTCAAGGACCTCGGCTGAGGTGGGGTGCCCATCATCACATCAACAGTGAACGTATTCTTCATATCTCTAAGCGTGATCGCGCCCATTACGCGAGACCCAACAGCCGGAGCTGGACTCCCTCCAGGTAAAGTAGGTCCGGCTTCCGCAGGTTCGGAAGCAGGTCCGGTAGCAGGTGCGCTAGGCGAAGGAGGGGGGGGGAACAGAGTTAGTTGCCTCCTCTGTGCGCGCAGCAGCGCATCGACAGAAGGGCGGCTACGTCGCAATGGCAGAGTCAGACTCCGAGACGAGGAAGGAAGATCCCGACAACTGCCGGGGACACTTGCCAGCAAGACAAGACAAACGGCCATCGCCAGAAACACGATGCTCAGCCGCAATGAAAGCTGACGACGACGGGAGGACAAACCGCTCCGCAGGCAGCAAGCTGTTGAGGAAGCCATGGTCGTTCGACTCCTTCGCAGAACGCACCCACCTTTCTCCTCCTGACCCTGCCACAATCCGGTCAAGCCGCTCTTGGACCGCTCCTAGCCGCTCTCCGTCTCGCTTCGGTCGATGCTCCTGGTTGGACAACGGATGTTGTCGACGCTCGTCACAACGTCCCTTAAAAAGCATACGGTCGGACGAGGATGTGAGCGGAGAACCAGGCTACCGCCAAATAACTTCAGAGCTCAGCGTGGGCTAGGTCCCACTCACACGAAGTAAGCGATATTGACCGTAGATAGCAAATATCAACGGCCAGAATCTCTTAATCCGTGCAAATGGGACCTTGCCCCGTGAGAGATGGCTGCCAAACTTGAAGCGCAGGAAAGCTGCACGCGCGTAAATTCCCAGATTGAGGGCGCACTCACAGCAGGACTTTTTCCACTAAGCTGTGGACGTAATTCTAATCAGATTCATTCGCGTCGGCCATATCCGTGGTCAGATACATTTACGGATGTGCCAGTTGGAGTATGCTGTCAGGGGAGGAAAAACGGGGACGAAATAGTACGAAAGAAAACACCCTAGAAAAGTTAAAGAACAAGGAAAGAGCAGGAGGCGGGAAACAGAACAGAAACCGCAAGGCAGGTCCTCCCAGCAGTGTACTACATTGTGCTTCAACTCGAACACCAGTCTCGGAGGACCATGTAGTACAGTAGTACACTTGAACTACGCGGGGCTGGCAGGACCTCACACGGAGTTTCCACTCTGTTTTTGTTTTTTTCTTTCTATATTCTTCTCTCTACTTCTGTTTTTGCCTTCCACTACCTAGTCCTAAGGCTATCTAGAGGGGACCACTGCATCCGGCCTTTTTTTTTCCTTTTCTTTTTTTTTGGTAAAATGGCTCCATCTATCCGTGGGGAGCAGCACGTGCTGGAAACCGGGTCCAGCGTCCCTCATTACAACAGCAATGAAAAGCATAATCAATATAGAACACCTCTTCAACCCTAACAGGTCGAGTTGTCCCGTGAATCACTAGCTCTCCAAATCTCTACAGAGGTAGCTATCTGCGTATTTTGAGAGAATGCCCTAAACGCCCCTCCCAGAAGGAAGACTCGGAGAAATCCTGTACCAAGGGATGTTCAACAGAATTCAAGAGTGCTTGAAGTGTAGGCAGGGGCGCAGCGCGTCCGGGGGCGCTGCGCCCCGTCGACACGATCTCGCCGACGAGCGATGGAGAGGTTGGAAGGCGCGGTGCGCGGTGCGGTTATGACAAGCGCAGCTGCGCGGTGACGTGTGGCGACGTTGGGCATCGCGGTGGGTGGGCAGTGCTGCTGTGGGGTGTTGTGTGACGGCGCGTGGATACGCCAGGTGGTGCTTAGCGGTAAAGTGCGGCGACGGCGTGAGTTGCTGAGTGACGGAACGTGGTCGTGTTAGACACCACGGCGACGGGTGAACATCCAACTCTCTATCTCCTGACATTTTTGTAGCGCCATCTCGCTGTCTTGTGCCTCTCACGGCGATGCTGCGGGCTAGCATGCCGTGTGAGGCGGGGTGTGGCTTTTTATTGGGTCTCGCTTCGGGAGGAATCACCTGTGCTCTTCATCTTGCAGAATTTGGTGGAGGAGGTCGGCCAGCAGCAAGAGGGAGAAGAGTACTGGTGTGTCCCATGAGATGGGAGGAGGAGTGGAGGGGGATAAGGAGTTGGGTAATTGGGACTGTGTTCGTCTTCGCGCCATACAAGCAGCAGTACCAAGCAACAGGGAGAGGTCTTTCATCAACAGCAACGTGTTACAAACGGCAGATATCATCATCGGGGGTTCGCTCATCATCATCACTGTCTTCATTGTGGTTAATAGGGTAAGTCTAAACTTTAACACCGTGAGTAGGGGTGCTGCGCGACACTTCATTGTAACCACATCATGGGCGCTGTTCGCCCCTTTTATTATCACCATCATCATCATCATCCGTCATTAGTGCCATCGTCATCTTCAGTTAGCGCAGGCTGCTGCATGTTATCACCAGAATAGTCATCATCCTGCTGCTGCGCGTTATCACCAGAATAGTCATCATTACCATCATCATCATCATCATCACCATCATCATTTTATCATCAGCATCAGAAGCACCATCATAAGTGTCATCACCATTATTACTGTCATCATCATCATCATTCTTAGATTCGTCATTATCGACATTATGATCATTATCACCATCATCATCTTTCTCATTATAGTCATTTACTATAATCATCACTACCGATATTATTATCATTCTTCGTCACGATCATCATCATCATCAGTTTGTAGTATCACTTACTTCACATTGATCATCATCACTACTTTCATTAGTTTGTCATCATTAGACGGTCGTCCCTCATGGTGGTGATTGCTGTTCATATCTACAGGTAAGAAGGTAGGGGACGGGGGGAGCTCTATCTTGCAGGGGCATCACAAGGTGGGGGGTGAATGTGTCAAAGAAGGTAGGGGCGGAGCAGGGGGGTGCCCTATTCTGGGGCAGGGGCTGTTTGTCCCAGTGGAGGCAGAAATGGGTAAGGGTTGTGGGGGCACACTTTAGGTGGGAACTGCGTGCTCCTTGGGGAACAGTAGGGTAGAGGATTAGTCCTATATTGGGGCCGAGGGAGAGTGGGAGACTCACCTCGGCGGAGGCAGTACAGGGCTGAGGGGGGAGGGGGACGGGGAGGGAGGGGCTGAAAAATCGGTGGCCCTTGAAGACCGATGCTGGAGCGACGTTGGCCGGAGCCGGAGCCAGGTGGCGCAACTCTGTGACCTAGCCTAGTGGGGGCGTGAGGCCTGGTAGAGATCCGGGGGGCTGTTTGTGGGGGCAGTCTCAGTGGTCATCGGGGGTCGTGACTGAAGCAACGCTGGCCGGAGCTGGAGCAAGGTGGTGCAACTCTGTAACCTAGCCTGATGGGAGCAAGAGGCCTGGAAGAGCTTTGGTTCGTGCTGAAAATAGCCATGCTGGCGGTGGTTGAAGGTGGATTGAATGGGCTTCACCTATTCCTTTTCTCCAATTGGTCTTAGCCGAAACCGGGTAATGGCCCCGGTGGTTCTTCTTTGTATTTTGAAAGGGGACATGCCTTAGCTACGTCATATGAAGTTTTCTGGTTTCTGGATCTTCGGTAGCATTTAGTCTTTGCTCATATCCAGGGTATAGGAGTTCAGAGAAGGTCAAACCCGGACTGATATCCGCAGAGTTGTTCTGTTCTGTGCCCCTGGTTTGCCGATGCCAGAACGACGCTGGCCAGAGCTGGGGCGTTGCCCTGTAACCTGCAAATCGCAGGAGTATGAGGTCTTGTAGAGAGATCTGGGGTTTGCCGAGGGAGGAAGGTAAGCCAGTGGTGAACCGGGGGGGGGTTGCTTAGTGGCGAGAAGGGATCAGCTATGGGTGATTTTGGTTTGGTTGGTATTGTCTCTGAGTAAGTATGTCCTGGCACAAGGAAGGCAAGAGTTACTTTAGGTTTAGGAAGCCAGAATAGCTTTATAAGTAGTCTACTATAATGCATATGAGCACGAATCAGTATCATCATTAGCATCAATATCATTAGCATTACCATCATGATCATTTTCATCAAACATATATGAGGGCCGCTGAGCCCGGTTCTCAGCAAATTCATTTCGTCCACTCCGGGTAGACTGTGAGGACCCCGGCCTCAAGCAGTTTTCATTGGTAATATCAGCCTTGGGCACTGGGGCCCGTTCTAAAAAAACAAAAAACAAAAAAAACGGCTGGAACTGTATGCGTCTGGGCGCAATTCTGTCCAGAAAAAAAAAAAAAAAAAAAAAGGCAGGGAAAACCCATATCAAAGTTGGCTACACTACCTCCTCTTAAGTTCTTAACCCTCTACGATGGACGAGGTCCCCTTCTTCTTCTTCTTCTTCTTCTCCTCCTCCTCGTTGCTGTTGTTCTTCTTCGTCTCGTTGCTGCTCTGCCAGCTCCGGCTCGTTGTAGTCTTGTCCCCACTCCCTCCTCATAATTTAGGCCATACTCACTCCAACCTTCCCTCGAGCACAATGCGCCCTCATCTTGATCTTGATCCTACTCGTGATAATTATGTTCTTGCTCTTGATCCCGTTCTTGAATCTGTTCTAGAATCCGTTCTTGATCTTGTTCGTGATCTCGTTCGTGATCTTGATCTTGATCCCGTTCAACCCGCTCGCGGTCTTGATCCTGTTCATGATTGCACACCTTTTTCTTTTTTTTCCCTCTTGGAAACCGTAACAGTGGCACAAAGAGTATCGATACATCCGCCCTTTCATGATCGGTCATCCGACTCATCCCAACAGAACTGCGGCCCCTCTCTTACTCCTACCCTCCTTGTGCCCCCATCTATTCACTCGAACAGACATTTCAGCACCCGTTCTGAGACTTCTACACGATCCTACCCACCATCTTTCTGAAGATCTCTTGACTTTCCCTCCACTCTTTCGTGACATCCGTGTTCGCTGTCTCACAAAGCCAGAAACCACTTCGGATGCCACACAAGCAGACTATCTTGGTCGCTTTCTTGATCCCCGTCTTGATCCTGATTGCAAGCCTGGATTCCTACCCCCACCTGCCCTTCGCAAACAATGCACCCTCATCTGGATCTTGATCACATTCATGATTTTTCTCTCACTTTTGACCCTCTTCTTCATTCCGTTCGTGATCTTGTTCTTGATCTTGTCTTGATCGCATTCTTGATACCGTTTAACCATTCTCGACCTCTCTCACGGCCTTGAACCTATTAAACCAGTTCTACCTTATCCTTCTCTACATTAACAACGGACTGACTCTCTCTCTCTCTCTCTCTCTCTCTCTCTCTCTCTCTCTCTCTCTCTCTCTCTCTCTCTCTCTCTCTCTCTCTCT